TGCTCCCTCATTCAGTCTTTCAGAGCAATAACATCAAATATATGAAACATGATATTAGGACATAGCCCACCTTTAAATGCTTCCTCATTTGCCACAGTTACCTGAGGGATGTTTGCTACAGGCTCTAACAGGACTTCTCTCTTATTAACACCAGTAGCAGTGCTACTCCATAAAGGACAGCAGAAATTATTTTGAGTTCTTTTATTCAAGTATTTCTATATTCTCAGTTCTAGAGCAGGGAGGGTGAGGCACAGGTTCTATGTAGGAAGCATTTAGAGGGACATCAGGGAGCACACAGCAAGGGGGTGACCTGCAGCTGGAGATAAACTGTCCCTTTCTAAGAGGTGGGACAGAGCTTATGTCATCAGCCAGTGCAGTACACACACCACTGCAGCATCAGCCCTGCTGACTAATGCCCTGTTGTCCAGGCAAAGAAAGACAGCCTGGAAATGAAGCAGGCAAACTGCCATAAGGGCCTTGTATCACTGAGAGGTCAAAAAGCCAGTCTGAGGTGTCCATGTGAACATAGAATTGATACATGGAGTTGGTCATGAAAGACAGTGGGAAAACTTGGAAGTAAAACTTTTTACTGTCTCACTGAGCAAGGAGGACAAGAAGTGACACAAGAGAGCCACTTATTATTTTCAAAATAATACTTGGAACAATTGAACCATCGAGAAAGTTATTTGAAGACTTGACCTGGACAGAATAAGACTGTAAAGGGACTCAGTAATTGTGCTCAAAACTGAGAATAAAAATAAGGGGCAATAGAGCCTTATGTTTCAGATGTAAGATCTCTGACACTATGCTATCATCGGAGACATTATGGAGCTCCTAATTAAAAACAAGGGTTGCTTGCAGGATTCCAGCGTGCAAAGAATATTATTAAGAGAAACAGATCCAGCCCTGGAGAGATTAGCCAGCATCACAAAGAAGTCACTGATGAGTGCTCAGACAACTATAACACATGTCACTGGGACTCCAAAGCTCTCAGGTGAGGAGAGGGTACTGCCCAGCAATGTCTCTGGCAATAAAGTGAGCAGGGCACGCTGTGTGGAGTACCACACAGATGTCTGTTTGCAAAACATGGACAGCCAAGAAGGGAGGCTCCAGCAACCACTGTAACCTACTTCCCACAATGGGCGCTGTGGGATGTGCCTGTGCTAACTCCCAGTATTTTTTTAAGTAGCGACCCAGTAGCTCCAGCAAAGATCTGACATTGTTTATTCAACATACGCTGAACATGTGGTAGACAGCCTTGCCTGAGCGAAGTCACAGAGCATATCCTTTGGCCAAGCATGAGTGCCCACAGCAAATACTGTCAGACAGGGAAAGCAGTGAACTGGCAGGGAGATAGACCTGACACATGGGAATAAAAAAAAAAACCAACAACTACAAAAAAAGCCAAGCAAACTGGACAGATTGGTTTGCTTTTAATAACAGAAACGTGTACAGCCACCCCAGCTCATTGCCCCAGCTCCACCGAGACCAGCTGCCTTGGAGCAGCTTTCTAGGCTTTTGGAAGCCTTACGTGTAACGGGAGTGAGGTTGGAGGTTTTGATGTGGAGCAAAACAGTGGTGAAATCAGATTTGAGCCTGAATAATGAAAAAAGAAGTCTGCCTAAGAGAAATTCCTGGGAGAGAATTTTAAAAAAGCAGGAGACAGAGCTGGATCTGAGTAAGTCAGAAGACGTTATAGTCATGTTGGACATGATATGCTGCATAAAGTAGTGTGCGACAACAAGTCAGAAGCTTGGTGTGAGTTTCAGGGGTATATCTGTAATTGCCAGTTATGCACAAAGTCCCATGACACAAAGAGGGAAGTGAGATCATACACATCTGTCTGACCCTTCTATAGCCTCTCCACTTTCAGTTCAAATGTCAAAATCATATCTATTGTCATTTCTAGAGAACTGTAGACAGATACAGGGGACAGGAAGTCTGGAAACCATTGAAAAGTCTGGAAAAATCCTGGAGATGTTTGTTATAAGTGGTGTCATTTATTGTTATAATCCATGACATTGGCCAGATGTTACAAACCTTGTAGTGTGAAAGAGCCCTAGCACCTGATGCCACCCTCAAGCCCAAGGGGAGAAGGTTGTGAAGACATTTAGCTTGTAAGCTCTTGAACAGACAGGAGACTCTGCTATCTAGTTGAGACCTCCTATCTGAGAGGTCAGACAGCCACCCGTCACACCAGATCACCACAGCCTCAAAAAATCATCACTCTTCCTCAGGAGGGGCAACCACTGGGCACACTAGGAGAGAACAGCACCTACACTGCAGATGTAGTAGGCAAGGCAAAGCCAAAACTGAAAGATCTCCCAGCATGAAACAGCAAAGCTGCAGATGAGTTAGGAGAGAACTGGAGGTCAAACCAGCACAGGATGTCCCAGGGCCCCTCCACATTTAGCAGACTGTGAACAATTAAATAGGAATATTTTATTATTGCTTGTTTCATATTAATGTTGGCTGTTAGTGTGTGTTGTTTGGGTAATGAAGGTGCAAAGAAAGGTAGGACGCTCTGGCACAAGGCAGCTGGACCTCTCTCTTTGGGACTGAGCAGTCCCTGTTATACATGTTACCTACTGAAACTGTTTAAAGCTGTTTCCTGGCAGGCTCCTGGGCTCTGCCTGATGGCTGAGAAGCAAGCCTACAGCATCATCTGCAGCTGTAATACCTCTGGAAATAGCTTTTTTTCAATAAGGAACTTGTTTCACTTTTACAAGAAATGAAGGGCTTTTTGACTGTTGCTCAGCATGTGTTACCTGACATGCCAGGCATTCCCAGCAGCCCGAGGAGAGTCAGGCGGGGAGGAACTGCTCTGTGTACTGAGATGAACTTTCTCATTTAGCCAAGTCTTGGCAGACAGGTAAATTTTTTAAAGGTGATATTTGCTTCTAAATGCAACACGTAACTCATTTTGTTGCAGTCTATCCATCTAGTGTGCTGTGCTTGCGACTACAAACTTACCAGTACCAGTTAACGTGACTCAGAATTAACAAGGAAATATGTGTTTTTCTATCAGAGAAAGAGGGGTTCACATTAAAATATTTCAAAGTATTCTGCAGTTCTCTCAAAGTTTGAGAGATCCCTGTTCCTTGCCTGCTTAAACATAAAGAAGTGGAGCTTAATGATACATTTCTGCATAATTGAAAATGCTCAAACACAGGTAGAAAGACAAAGAGAGAGAAAGTTAACTGGAAGTAGTTTCCCAATATGTGCAAGTCACTTGATCTTGGCCAACGGAACCTGCAGTTTCAACTCATTTAGGCAATCTGGAAAATTCGTTCTGGATATGAAACATGCTTATTGGGCAGCTGCAGGGCCTGTCAATTCTGTGCTGCAGCCAGCCTTCAGGAAAGAGAGGTCTCTCAGTGCCTGCAGCCAGCGTCCTTGACAGCTTCCAGTCCTCGTCTCCTTCCAAACAGTAAATAAAAGCATAACGAAACAAGAGCAGCTAATGCAAATGCCCAAAAGCTGATTTTGGAACGAGGAGCATGAGATCAGAGAAGTGCAAGCAGCATCTCCCCTCTCCTCCAAGTGCTTTACGGCCTTTAGCAGCCCAGACACATCCTGAGCCAGACTGGTTTTCTGTGTATTCAGTAGCTCTCAGGGGAGTTTCTCTTCCATGAATTCATTCAACCTTCTCTCAAGGCTGCACTGGTGATCAGTGTTTTCTACGCAGCCAGTCACACCAAGGAAAAAGAGAATCAATATTCACTTTGGTCATGGCCTTTCCAATACTCGGCCATTCCCTGATGTGTCTTTGTGTTAACAACCCCATGTGAGGGATAGGAATGAGATCAGCAGCTGCCAGCAGGGCCCTGTGCCATAGATATTTCCAGATAATATTTTTTCTCTCTCTCTTAAGGGATGGAGTGCAGCTGACATTCCTGTCCTGTTATTACACAGATGCATATAATGCATATAATGCATCTGGCAAATACACATTAAAGTAAATATAAGGAAAAAAAAATCTCACAAGTGAAACCAAAAAGCCAAATCAACATGAAAAGTGCATTGCTGAGATTTTGTGCCATGTATATATGTGTATGCTAGTGTTTAGTAATATGCAGAAATTACAGATATGACTTGAGCCTTCTAAGGCTTTATGCTAGTTTCTCCCTCTGCAAAATAAAATTCTCAGTGGAGGAAGCATGACATTTTTCCTTTCATATTTTAATTTGACAGAATTAGCTAAATACCTTTCCTAAAAGAATGAACCTGAATTGAATTCAGTTGAGTTGCTGAGTGAAAGAATTAATTATTTTCTTAATTTCCTCTAGGAAAGAAAGGCCTCCTCATTACTTGTACATGCCATCAAACTAAAACAGTGTGAAGAAGTATGAGTTACTCAGCAATGAAATGTTATGGAGTAAATGGGAGGCAACTGTTAAAAATCCTCATCTGAGCAGCCAAGGAGAAAATTCCTTCATGATACATGTAGGTGACATAATCCTGGGAACACCCTTCCCACAAGTGTGGGCCTTCTTTGCAGATTCCCCAAGGAGATATCTGCACATCATTTGCCAACATGGCTGTAGATTTATGTCTTTGTTTTCTTAGAAATATGAAATTTTGTATATTCATTGATTTTCAGTCTAGAATTAAACAATTACAATCAAATGGTACATCGGTCCTTATAAACTTGCCACAGACTTTTAAGTTCTTCCCTCAAGTTCATATTTTCTGGCTGAACTGAAGCATGTCTTCTGCAATTAGAAAAAATAAAAATCAAGCATTGCTTTAAAGACATCAGGTATTAGAAAACTGTCAGACAGAATCTGATTCTTGGTCTGAGTTATCTTGTGGTTTTCATCATGAGGTTCATCAGTCCCCGGGCATCTGTGAACTACCCCTTATGCGATCATGAAATGTAATTGAGGAAATGAAGTTCTTTGTCTCTACATAGTAATTGACCTGTGTAAAATGTCCTTGAAAACTTATATTTCCATTGAAAGAAGTTGAAGAATCTATAAATGTAAAAAATTACTTACCTAGTGTCTAGAAGTACCAGCACTAGACCCTTCAGAGAACGATGCCAGCAGTCCCATACTCTGCAATTATAAAGTAATGTGTCAGAAGGGGATATTATTCCTATCCCAACCTTTCATAAAGCTTGTTTATGCCCTGAAGTACAAGTTTATTTCACTTACTTTTTGAGACAATTTCTATTCGTGCTGTAACTCAGAGTGGCTTTTTGGAAATCTCTAGATTAGTGGTCAGTTTTCTAAATACCAGCACAGCATCTGACATCCCTTTCTTCAGCATTATCCTTCAATAAATTACATAAATATATCCTATCATAGATACAGCAGTTACTATACATCAAAAGAAGTAAAAATTTGCCCAATTCTCATACTGATATCCCAGTCTTACTTGGAGAGGCAAAGATGGGATGTGTCATGCTGGAAGCTGCCTCCACAGGCACTAGGGAGAAGAGGCCGAGTTGTGAGACAGTTTGACTTCCACCTTGGTGGGACTGTTATCAGACACCTGTGTGGAGACCTCAGCAATTTTCCTATTCCTTCTCTGTCTGAAGTCTGATCACTTTTAGTCTTGATCCTTGTACTGGCATCTTTTTCACTGCTGTGCGCTGGTCACCCCAGCCTTCTCATGTCCTCAGTCTTGACATTAATAGGCATGCTGATGAGGAAGGCACAGGCCCAGACCTAGCCTTTGGGGAGAGAAAAAAAAAATAGAACTGAAATAGATTTTGAAGTAGGAAGCACTTTTCCTATGTTGAAGAGTCACAACAGTCCCAAAATGAGAAGGCATGTTTTAGTGGTTAGTTGCAGTTAATCCTAAGAATGCTTTAGGCTTTGTCATAAGTCAAACACAATATCCTCTCCTCCTTGGAGAAGTGAGATGTGGGGTTTCAGAGTGGAAGAACAAAAGCTTTACAAATGAGGTATTTGTAATAATTCCTCCACAGCAGCTATCTACACTACATAATACTTCCCCCTAAAACAGAAATCTGCCTTGAATAAAAGGAAGAAAATTACATTAGAAGAGACAAGTCATATCTAAAACCTGCATGTAAATCAGAAGTTCATTAGGAGAGTATGCAGAGAAGCTTTTGGAAGGTAATTTTACTACTAACTAGTTTTTCCAAGAATGAAGTAAGGCTTTCAAAAGCATCATTGCTCTAAGTATTTCAAATTATCTACTCTACCTGATACTATCTCTTCTCATAGAGATTACAAAGCACTTAAATTTTTACCCACTTTGTTACAGAAATCCCCAAGGAAGGTTTCAATCTGTTTGCAAGCACTGCTCTGAGAAGATAGCAGAAGTTTTCAAAACTTCCTCCAGCATATCTAGAGTTAAATGCTTTTTACAGTATTGCCTCTGTATCATAAAGTTCTTTGTTCAGAAACTTACCACTGAGTCATGCAAAAAAACCCCACTCTGGACCAAAACTCAGTCTATAAGGGTTCAGCCAAGAAACAATATTTCCTGGCCCTTTGTCCCTTTCTTTTTTCTAGTGCTGAAATAGAAAAGGATTCTAAGTGCTCTACTGTTTCCAAGCATGAATGTGCTCCTATTACTCATAAAATTACTTTAATTTTAAAATGAAATGGTGGGAGCTTATAGCTGAGATTGTTGATGATGTTTCAAGCATCAGGCAAGCTCCGCCACACTGGCGGTCACAGATGGCCCAGCCATCCCCTATGACATCTCCCATTTTGTAGCAGTCCAAACACTCACTTTTATTTAGGCAAGTCCACCTTTGGCACCCATAGGGCATGTTACAGCAAGGGTCATTAAGGAATGTATTGCTCAGTTTCTGTCTCTTATCCCTCTCACAGCCCAGAGCAGCACTTAGCAGTGTGACTGTGTTTTATTCTGGCTTGCCACAGAGCCACACCAGACTCGTCTGCTTGCAGCATTTTCCAGCAAGGTTGCTTCTCAGGGGAGCGGAAAGGGTTATGGATCAAGGCTGGTGAAAGCTGGCTCAGCTTCAATCAAAACCATTTCTTGCTACAGTTTTGTACTGACATACAAGGGGTTTTGCTGCATTCTGCTTTGTGTGCTGAAGTTAGAAGAACTCCAAATGAGAAAAAAAATTTAAAAATTTTTTAAAAATTTAAAAAAAAAAAAAAAAAAGATGCACAGAAGAAAACTTGTGTGGAAAAAAAGGCCAAAGAATGAATCTTCCTATAAGCTCCTTTACGAGCACTGCTGCCTGCTGTGCTTTGAACACAAAGGTTAAAATCCACAGGTAAAAATCCAGGCATTCTACGGACTGGAAGAGCTTTCCCTTTGGCTTCGGTGTACCTAAGTTTCCAGGCAAGGTCACTATTTTTCTGTCTTACAGGCTTGCAAAGTTCCTGTGGGTCACAGCAGCTGCATGAGGAATCCATGTGCCATTCTGAGCAGAGCTGGAGGAAAGGGACAGCAGAGAAGTTGACAGAAAATGGTCTGGTGGAAGGTGTCCCTGTCCATGGCAGGGAGGTGGGAAGCAGAGGATCTTTAAAGTCCCTTCCAACCCCAGACATTCTATCATTCTGTGAAAATACACCATTGTGGTAAAGCAGGCAAATGTCCGTATTACTGTGTTTGGCTGCTTCCTCTCCCAATTGCATCTTCTGCCTGCATGAATCATGGCTGAATCAAGACTATCTGTGAAACCGATCAACAGCAGACCAGTAGAAAAGGTGACACAATTAGGGCATCCTGGTGGCCTACGTTCAATGCAGCTGGCAGTCATCTGGGAGAGAATGTTGCTCACCAGCTTCTCTGGGGCTGGTACATGGAGGAGTTTCTCAACCCAAAGCACAGCCTCAGGAAAGACCAGGAGCTTCTGAAAATGGCTGTGTTGTATTAATAACTGAGGGAATCACAGAGCTAGAGGGACAAATACCCAAATTCCTTTAAGATATGGCATCTATTTGACCTCTCACAGAAATAGCGTTGCATTCAGAGAGAAAGCAAAACATTTTTTGTGTTCTTCCAGCATTGCCTCTTGCATTTACTCCAGCACGCTATATTTGGTATGGTTGTTTCTGTAGGAGAGCTACTCTCTAACAACTGTCATCACGTAGAAGCAGCAAATCTCCTGGGGGTTTAAGGCAGCTTTTATTTAGACCCAAACTTTGTTATGATACCAAGTTTAGTCTCAGCCATGCTGCAAACTGAAATCCCAGCGTCTGTGGCTGCCCACAAGGTAAAGGTCCACATTTCTTTGGTTTCACTGTATTTTCACAGTGTCACTGCCCATGCAAAACTGCTCCTGTTAATCCAGATCATTGACTGCAGATCAGATGTCTGGAGATGGAGAGAGAGGGTGGTGGCAAAGACAGCATGCAGTGTACACTGATGGGGACAAGTAACAACTGCGTAGTTGTCAGCACAGAGAAAGGGATGCTTGTCTTGCAGGCGTTATATTTGGGATGGAAGGATGGAAGATTGATTTAACTTCTTTGATGTGCCATATCTTTCTGGTAAAGGTTTAAATGCTATTTCTGGCTGCCACATTGATTTTCATTACCATGGATCCCCTTTTGGAGGTGAAGACTTTCTCTCAAAGGAGTTTCCTAAATGTTTTTAGTTTGGGGTAATGTTATATTTTAAATTGCAGCACAAACACATGCACACACATATGCACGAACTCATACTATCTGTAGGAGATCTGTGTATGATACTGTGCAATTTTAGTTTTCAATCACAGCAGCATTTAAATTATGGATTTGCTTAAAAAAAGAAAAAAAGAAAACAAAACATTACTCATCCAACATGCAAATACAACACTCTGGATCCCTTTCCCCACCCACGACGTGGGGGAGCCCAGTTCTAGTTCCATCTCCATCTGAAGAACCATTCCGACGTCTTGAGGGATGGGGAAAGGGAACTCCAGGGGTTTCTTCAGGGGTTTCTGGCCCTGAGCCTGGAGGGGAGAGGTGCCCTCCCCTCCTCCCAGCACCCACGTGGCTCCATGGCAGGCACAGAGACAGCACACCGGCGTGGAGAGGAGGCAAGAGAGCGTTTATTGTTGGGGATGTTACATTTATAGGGTTAGGGAGAATCACAGGTTAACTAATTAGAAGTCTCAAGGGGCTTACAGGAACACCCAATCACAGGAAGGGGTTAACAAGGTCCAATGGGAAACACCTCAGGACACCTTCCCAGGACATTCCTGAGATAACGCTACCGTGGGGGGTCTTGGGAAGAAGAAACACGTGTTTGCAAAGAGACCACCAAAAGCCATTTTAAGACATGTTTAAACAACAGTTTTCCCATCTAATGCAGGTTTAGTGCTACACAACACCCTGTCTTGTTTGCTCCTGTTCCATTCATCTGGAGATTTGGAGGTATTAAGTGACACAAGACCTTTGAATCTGCCCCCTCAGAAACTCTGACAGCTCAGAACATGGTGCGTTCTCCATTATTATTCCAAAATATCAGCTTGCACACTCCAGAACTATTTAAGAAATACTGATTTAATTGTACTCCCCCACATTTTTGCAACTGCCATCTTTTACTGTGAGTGTTAATATGCTGAGTGGGACAATGGTGCTGCTTTGCTGCTGTAAAGAAAAATCTTTTTCCTTGTGAATTCCAGGAATGGCTTCTTTCTGCTGTTTTAGCTGTTTCATGTAACAAATAATCTTTGCAATAGGAATTTGGTTCATCATGCAGATTCGTGTTCTTTATAACTGTAAAATAATAGCAGACAGTTTTCCCCGTGTGTCAGTGCTTTTATTCCAGTCAAGGTTGATAAAATATTTCTTGAAGAGAAACGTACAACTCAGTCTGCGTAAGAAACTGTGCTGCTGCTGATCAGCACAAGTGTGGGGGTGATATTCCGGTGTAGTGCAGTCCCCTCCCTGTACAAAGCTGCCTTCATGCAAACCTAAGCTGGCACAGCCTAGGCAGGGGCTTTCCTGAGGCACAGGCCATCATACGGGCATGTAGAACCCTCCTCTGCCTCCACTGCAGGGACAGACAGAGGTGATGGCTTGTCCAGAGCAAAAAACATATCCCATCAGTAAACCTCCCAGTGGTGGTTGGGTCAGATCTGCAAGTCCGTGTCAGTGCTGTATGTCAGAGCAAGCCTGCAGGATGAGTCTGCTGCAATGGTGCTGGGGTGGTTTCGAAACTGGCCATTAAACCTCTCTTTCATGAGAATAAATGATCCTATGTGCATACATCCATGTGCACGTACTCACATACACACACATTTTTTAGGCCTTGCCAGTACTTGGGGTTTGGCTGGTGGTGCTTGATAGGAGACCAGTGAAAGTTCTTATGGCTGAGATGAAAACCATGCATGATGTTACCCCTGGGAGAACTGTTTGGAGAAGCCTGAGTGTTTCCAGAATAGCACAGTTTCTCTAACACAGATACAAGCAAAGCATCAAGCTCCAAAGAGCTTCTTTTTTTAGGCTTGGATCTAAGGAGTTGGAGGTGGGGATAAGCAGTGGAAGGTTGACAATGATAAGAAGGTATTCGTTTGAAGGAAAATAATAAATCTACTAAACTCCTAAAGACTTACAGCATAAAGTCTTGGCGATCCCATCACTTTTCCCAAATACAATAATGTCAGGATTCTGGTGTCTTTAGGAATAAAGAAATAGAAAAATGTTTAAGATTACAACACGGCATTTTGCAACATTTAATTATAATAAATACAACCCTATCTGGAAATACATGAAATATATTAAATAAATGCCT